GACGGTAACCCTACTAAAAGGTCTAAAGCGTGAGAGAAAGGCAAATGTGAGAATAAACACCGATATAAAACAAAATACAACCCTGAGTGGGCAAAAGAATTTCCAATTCAAAGAGCAAACAACAATCCATATGCGTTTTACTGCATCCCATGTAAGAATGTCGCTTGTGAATTCCAGGGCAAAAGAGATGTGGAGAGGCACTGTGACCCAAACAACAAAAAAAGTAGCCACAACAAAATGGTAAATGCTTTGAAAAATGCTTCTACCATTTCTTTCAGCGCTGCAAATCCAGTCTTGTCTGATGTTACAAGAGCGGAGGTTTTGCATACAAACATGAGAGTACATCATAACCTCGCATTCCTGCTAGCAGATCATTTAGCAATGGTATTTCACTCTGTATACTATTATCTATTATTTATTTATTCAAATTAAATAAATTTGATTACATTGAAAAGTAAATGCACTTATGCACTACAGAGCGTCTCAAAAAAAGTGAACCCATTTCAACAGAAATTAGTATTTTCTTTTGAACAACTTATTGTTTCCTATTGTGTTGAATTTCAGAGGGTTCACTTTTTTGAGACACCCTGTACATGTATACATAGTAAAAAAGTTTTCATTTTAACGATGATCAATTTACTGCACAGATTTAACAGAAAATTGTTTTTCACCTCAGAATTATGGAGCTATGTTTCCAGATTCAAAGATTGCGAAAAGTTTTGCATGTGGACAAACTAAAACAACCTGTATCCTTAACCAAGCCATGATGCCTCAGTTAAAGTCATACCTCAAAACATAGATGCAAAATAAACCATTTAGCCTTGTTAACGATAGTACAAGTGACACAGGGTTAAGAAAAATGAATACAGCTTGTGCTATGATATTTGATACAAACATCTCAAAGAAGGTCAGTGCTTCTCTTAATTTGTAATGTTTAACTAATCAATGAAAGTGAAACTTGTTATTCTTAAGCATTTACAGCTGTTTCTTTTCAGGTGGAATTCAAGTTTTATGATATGTGCTCTGCATCTGGGGAAAATGCATCCAAGGCAGAAACACTTTCTGCTATTGATAATGCTTTAGTCAGAGATGAAATATCATGGGATAACTGTGTTAGCTTTGGTGTAGACAATTGCAACTGCAATATAGGTTTGTGTAATGCCAGCACAATGCTATGTTTTAGAATTGACAATGTTTATTTTGCAAACTGATGTTTTTCCATTTAGGTGAACATAATTCTATAAAATCTCGGATAAGAACAAAGAATGAAAGTTGCTTCATTGCTAGTTGTTCATGTCATCTGGCTGCAGGGAGAGGTGGAAAGGCATACACTGCCTGCCACATCAGGCTTTGATATTGAGCAGCATCAAGTTGACTTGCATTATTATTTCAAAAACAGCACTCGTCGTAAGGGAGTCGCAGAGTATCTAGATTTTGTTGGCTTAGATTGGGAAGAATTTACTCCTTTTGTGAAAACAAGGTATAGTATAGGTGCCTGAAAATGAGAAAAATATTATCAGCATCTCTATCACCAATTCTATTTAAAATATGATTTAATTTTTTCTTTGGGTTTAGGTGGCTTTGTCTGGAAAAATGTTGTGATAAAGACCTGAAAAGTACCCTGCCATAAAGCCGTTGTTTCAGAGTAGAACATGTGACAACAGTGAACAAGACAGAGGATATGATGAAGATGGTATATGCTTTACTGTATACTTTCATTAGAAATTCATTTTTTTTTAAAGTATATCAAAAGGAATTGATAAGAACTGTTGTATCTCTTACAGTCCAACAGAAACTTATCTCCACTTGTAATTTGTGTTCTTGCATAGATGCTGATGAGAACAAGTCAATTTCAACAAAGTTTCTAAGATTGTAAAAGGCTTTTGATGATCCATTAACCGAAGTGCATGTTGCATTTTATACCTCGGTGTTGCCACTGTTTACTCATTACAATCTCTTTTTGCAAAGGTTTGTACACATGCATTGTTAATAGAATGTGAAAATTTAAAGTTGCCTTTCAATTAATTATTTGTAAAATGTTATTGGCATTCTTTCACCCATGGCATTCTTTTTTATTACTATGTAGGTCAGATCCACAAGCATACAGTGTTTACCCTTTAACAAAGGAACTTTGCAGAAGGATAGAAATGCAGTTTTTGCGTCCAGAAATTTTGAGGTCACTTACAGTTGAAAATGTGAAGAATGAAGATAACTATCTCCCAATATCAGAAATGCACGTAGGGTTGTTAACATTAAGCACTTTGAAGTTAACAAATGATGGTTCCATCACACAAAGCCAACGAAAAAAAACTGCTTACCGCGGCTCAAGCATTCTACAGAGAAAGTCTAGTCTATGTTCTAGAGAAGATGGACGCTAACAATGAGTTCTGGATGCATGCTGTATGGGTCAACTTCCTGAAACGTAATGAAGCCAGTTGGGAAGATGTTAACTATTTTATTGTTAAGTATCATTCGTTACTTAGGTTATCTTCTACTCAATACGATCGACTATATGAGGAGTTTATTGATTTCAAGTCCATTGAGGATGAGATTGATTTGGAAGAGGCTGTCCACTGCATCTATGATGATGGTACAAAGGAATACAGGATGGACACCATCTGGTACATTTTGCAGTCCTTAAAATCGCTGGTTGGAAATCATTACAGATTTCGACTCTTGTTTGAAGTGCACAGTATTGAGTGCACATTTGAATGCAAGTATTGAGCGTGTTTATTCACTTGTTAACAAGAACAAACGTGCTGGTTCAGAGAGAAACAGACTTGACATTGATGGTTCCTTATCAAGCATTCTTGCCGTAAAGCTAGACAAGCCTGAGTCAGATTTTAAATGCTACGAGTTTAAACCAAGCAATGAACTTCTGTTATCAGCAAAAACAGCCACGAGGAGATATAATAAGGAACATTCTTCTACTTATGCTAGTTCAAGTGACATGTGATAAACTAATAACAGCTGAGAGCTGATGATGTTATGGACATGAAAAACTGATAAATCAGTTTCCAATGCTTGTTAAATGATCACTTATGTTTTTTGATTTGTTATTTAAACGTTGCGTATTTGTTCAGTGATAATACCAAAATCTTGTACTTTTTGCGCCCGCTGTCCTTAAGGACAGCTAAGCTATGTCATCGCCTCGATCTTGATTGCGCCTGCTGTTCTTAAGGGCAGCGAAGCTATGTCATCGCCTCGATCTTGAATGTTTGGCAGACCGCAAGTTTGCGGAAAAGGCCTAAGCCGAGAATAGGATACGTCATATCCTGTCCGTGCCATGCGGCGTTGCTCAAGGGCTCAGAAGGCATCAGCGCGCATCGTAATAAAAGAACTAGAAAGAAGTATTCGTGCATTTTACAAAGTTTTCTGGCAGTTTTGCTCACATTTTCTCTCATTTGCTCTTCTCTTGGCGGCCAGTTCTTTTATGCCATTACTTGTTACAACTATTAAGGTATAGGAATATGAGCCAACTGGAAACTCGAATAATCTACTAGTTGTTCGGAAACAATAACGACCTTGCGCTATCGCTGTACAGTACTAAAAATGTCAACGACGTTTTCAGTTCCAAGCAGTAACTACGAGTATTCTCTGAGTCTTCAAGATATCTCCGAGAATTCAACCGAGGCCTCGTGTCTGCACTGACTGACCCATTGCTAAATCGGTCGGGCAATTGCGTGTTGTTTCGCAATCTACCAAAAATCTGCTAAAAATCTGCAAAACATCTGCTAAAAACCTGCTAAAAACCTGCCAAAAATCTGCAAAAAAACCTACAAAACTACCAAAGCTACCAAACAATCTACTGAAATCTTGACCAAACGAATAAACTCAAACAACAATATTCACTGACGTCTGACACTACCTACTAGCACTGTTAGTATACCGGAAATACTGGTAATATGGGACTATCAATCGAACAGTACAGAGCAAGAATTGGTGCACATGTATGCTTACTCAGGCAAAGAGAAGTTGCTAAACGTCTATCAGGTATTTTCTGGAACACAATGCTAATGTTATTTTATTTAAATGTCTTTTACTTTCCAGCTTTAAGGCAAATAAACGAACAATATAGCAAATCAAATGAGACAATTATCTGGTTTATTAAAATGGTTTGTTATCACCAAGTCTATGTACCTGGTTTATTAAGATTGTCAAATGATGTTGAAACTAACCCAGGACCAACACTGTGTGATATCATCGATGGTACCCAAACTATCTGTGCTGATTTCAGTCAAGGTTGTCAAATTAGATTTAGGGACAATGCAGGAAAGCAATGTGTGTTGGTATGTCTTTGACAGCAATAGTTTTCAGCCAAATACAAGATGTTAATAGCTGGAATTCAGCATTGTTAAATACAATTTTATTACATGGAAATGAACTTTATACAATTATCACTAATTCTGTACCTGAAATGGTTTCTATTAAGGAAACAATATACAATTTACAATACAGTGAGTCATATGCTGGGGATGTATTTATGGCACAGAATAATGAACCTTGCAAACAAAAGCTGATGTTGCCAAAGTGGTCCAACTCACAATTAATTGGCATGTCGTAGGAAGATGTGAACCGTCGTACTCCAGTTTCAAGGAAGGCTTACGATCTTTGGGTGTTCTTGAAGCCTGTTATGCATAATGAATATGACAGCTTTAAAAATGCAATGGTTTTTGGAATTAAGAATGCTCGTGGATTTGGCTGTCCATAAAAGACTAAACACTTCTTTGGCATGTTCAGTTTTAACATTCTATTTCATGTGAACTTTAGTGTTAAAAACATTTATTTTTGTTTCAATATCTGCACTCAGTCTAGAAGAATTTAATGCACAAACATTGGTGGCATTTAGGAATTGCTTTTATATTCTTGCATTGTAAACTGAGTTTTTTTTATTCAAGTTTTATCATTTCATGTGGGAAAATTATATCATGCCCAGTGGTTGGTAACAAATATATTATCTATGTTATTTTGTGAACAACTGCTACAACAATAAATACAAATCATTCCATCATGTTAACTAGTTGCTGAAACATCTCAAATGCTTCGTTGACATTCATCGGAGAGCGCCAATTTCTCATTTCAAATACATATTCAAAGTACTCTTGAAAAATGTTTTGTCTCTCTTCATCGCATTGGACACTTGCTTCTAGCTCACATATCTTGGCATGCGATGCTTCACAAAGACAATTTTCTCCACCATAGTATTCAGGTATAAAAAACAACAAATCGGGTATTCCAGCAATAGTTTCTTGCTGGGATTTCCTGATATAGTGGCTGTTCCATTGATCTCTTACATTATGCAGCTCTTGTTGGATAATCCTATTATAACAAAACCACAGACACTCCATGTGGTATACATTTCCAAGCTCTAAAATGCCAGTTTGACACATATCTTGAAAAAGATCAACCCACCACCCTGACCAGTTTCTTAAAAAGGACCACCATGCCTCAATTCTCTGATTCGCTGGGGAAGAGCCGTAAACATGTGATTTCTCACTTGCCCATTCATCCAAACCATCTGCATGGAGATAGCATTGCATTCCGGCCAATACAACATTTTCAGTCCCACAATCTGTTCTCACACGCTGAGGACAACCACCGACATCTTTAACAAAGTCTAAATAAATTCCAGCAACAATCTGTGGATCATTATTTGATCTCAAAACCTCCAACCAAAGAATGCGCCTACTATACCCACATATTGCAGCATAGATTGCAAAACCATATGGTTTCAGTTTATCATAACCTACAATACAAAAAAAATTTGACAAAATGAAAACATCAAACAATGAGCAATCACTTCATGCTAATTGTTCATGAGCTTGTAGCCTTGTACAGGATATTAAAACATTCCCTGGAGGGAAACAAATATTTGCTGAAGTCATACCGTCTAAGTGCCAACAGGCATTGGCCCCTTTGCTTGTGTATGTTCTTCTGTGTAGTCGTCTGGTTTTCCTGGACTGAACACCATCGGGGTCGATCTCTCTCAACAATCTGCAAACAACGTGGCGGCTCACATGGATTCCATGTTTCAGGCGCAAGGCGTGCCAAATTCCTCGGTACCCAGAAAGTCTTCCTGGGCCTCGAATTTCTTCTGTGATGAGAGCACGCAATTGATCCTCTTCAAAAACGTTGCCTTTTCTTTTCAATCCTAATCGTTTAAGACGCCTTTTTAAAGTGCTCAGTGACATATTGATGCCATTATTCCCAAGCAATTGCAGAATAGCATCGTATGGATAGCCACGATTAAAGCACACTTTTATAGCATCACAGCTTTCGCAGTTTATTGCCTCTGCTTCAATGTCAGCCGCAGCGCATCCCGAACAAGGCATATACTTTATTCAAAGACGTACAAAGACGGAATATATAAAAGCAAGCTATTCAACAAGTAGAATAGGATTTTTACCTTGTGGTATTAAAGTGGTGGTAACAGAACAGAACAATTGAACAACAAAATCAATATGCGCCCGCAATAGAAGCGTTTGCGGTTTTCCGTGTTAGCCCATGCATGCGCACAGTTTCACTTTTTTTAATGTGTGTGATATTTTTTTAATGTGTGTGATATTTTTTTATTGTTGCACTGCTTAAAAATGTTGTTATTATTTTTTTATATATTCTTCTCTTTTCTTGAGAAACCGACAGCTTTGATTATTTTCTTGAAATTTCTATAACTTTATAATTTGATATATTCATTTTGATTTTCACTTTTAATTCAATTTGCGTCTTTATTTACTTGCCATATGTTTTAATTATTGTATTTAGTTAACTAATGTGTGCATATTCTTTTATATTTGTGTGTGACCCTTGTGAGCCACCGTAGAATTTAGTGCGTTTTTCTTTCTTATTTTAACATAAAATACGCATTCTTTTAATTTTTCAAAGAGGAATCATAGGAGGGTGGTGAAACACGCTGTATTATGCGAGAAAAATCAGAAGATATGGATAATTTTGTGAATGCCTGAAACGTGACTATAGGATCGTGACTATGGGATGGTGAGTAAGAAGTGCCATGGCAATGAGAAATTTCTAAAGTCAAGAAAATAATCAAAAGTTCATTGACTCATCTACAACAACATGTGTAGCTAAAGTATTGGAATTCAGTGGTGAGTGTGTTTTGTATATGCTATAAATGCTATGTGTTCCAGTGTTTGTATAGGCAACATATGTTCTCTATACCATTATAATTAATCTTATAAATTTTTATTCACCTTTAGATTAAACTTTTTATTTGAACATTTTATTTACACCTTTTATTTACACCACTATAAATAGAGCCATTCCAACTAGCTCTATATAAATTTTATTTATCATTAAAAGTGAATTAAATATAAGCTAGGTCTCAAGTGTTTACCTAATTGTGTATTTACTGTTAAAATTTACAGATTTCCTTATGTCCAAACATCACACTAACCAAAGGTCAAAATAGAGCTCTATTAAAGCAAAATTAAATGTAAAAGATTTTGTTAATGCAATGCCGTGGATGCAAGAAAAACTTTGCTCTCATTCCATCACTGGAAAGGCTTCAAATAAATGCCTAGCTTCAAAGAAAAGGATGCAAAACCAGAGCCAGAGAAAGTTAAGTATGGTGGCCCAGGGCTGCCATATCATATTTTAAATTATTTTTTCAATATATTTTTTTACAAATATAAATAATAAATTTAACATAGATTAAATTCACCTAAAAGAGAATTGAAATAAATTTCTCTTAAATTGAAAAATAATGCACGTGGCCCAGAACTGCCAATTGCCAAAAATTGTATCATTAATATCTGTCGATACTTCAATGAAGTATCATGAAGTATATAGTATAATAATTAAGCGCAAAATATCATTTTGCCAATGAATTATAATAAAGTCGCTGTATCACGCCATGTAAATAAATGGAAGAAGTTTGCCAATGATATAAAATTTAAACGAACAAATGCTTCTAACCAAAAGAAAACAAATAACAATAACCCTGGGAAGAACACTATTGGTTCAAGTATTTTACAAAATAGAGAAATAACTATACAGCCGCTGGCAGCCGAAGCCACTGGGAAGGCTAAAAAATACGAGCGCACTGGACCGCAAGAATTTGTACCCTTCCCTTTTGAAGAAATGAGCATTCCCAACATTGTTACCGCTTGTAACAAACATTTCAAAAAAAGACCAAAGGGTACATCGTGTGACATTCTGGCGAGTGAACAAGGCCCCTCATGCACGAAGATATCACAGTTACCAAACCTAAAGTTAATCCATATAAGATTTGTAATGGTAGATGATGAGCCCCAATGTAGTCACGTTGGTCTTAGCTCGGTTGCAATGTTTAATGTCAACTCTAGCCCAGATCGATTTGGAGTGCCAAGCTCAAAGCGAACTGACCCAATTGTCCTGCCAAAATCAACCAGTGCTATTGCTGTAAAACGTAATCTAGAAGGTGCTTTTCATGTCCCTTCTAAAATTCCAAAAAGTCTTGGTGTCACAACAATGTTGAAGCTTGGTAAGGCAATCACAGATACAGAAATATTACATGAAACTGTGGAGGTATCAAGGTTTGACATAAATGAAATGATGTGGTCACAACCAGCATCTGCCCAGTTTACAGTTGAAAAGGAAGAATTGGCCCGGGGAGGTTTTCGTGCTGCCTACAAAGCAACATCTAAGTCAGTTAATTTTGAAGGTAAAATCTATATTTTCAAGCGATTCCTGCCTCAAACAGCTGAACTGATCACAGCAGTTAATGAGAGCCAGGAAGACCATGCTCGCAAATCTATTCAAATGCAAGCATTAGCAAAAAATTTTGCAGATCAAGTTGTATCAACAGTGGAAAAGAATGGAAATAAAGAAGCATATGGAAAGCCATTCAGATATGTGGAAGCATATTTAGGAAAAGTCCAATCAACAGATGAAATTGTAACAATAGAACAGTTTATTTCTGGCAACTTTCAAAAGTATGTGAATAATGATGGATCACTGTGTCATAACAAAGACAAACAGAAGCAAAAAAAGGCTGAAAGCCTTGTCCATTTCTCATATACAAAGTCCAATAATAGACTGTTGCTGGTTGATATACAAGGAAGTGAATACAATTTAACTGATCCAGAGATTGCCACTATGGGTAGTATATATGATGATGGTAACCTGCTCTTTTGTGCTGGAAACTTATCAAGTGAAGCTTATAAGAAATTCTTCTCAGCTCATGAGTAATGTATTTTGCAACCTTCTTGGACTTGCACCTGTGCCAATAGATGTTGATCCCAAATAACATGTAGCATGATATAGAGGGATGTACAACTTTTTAGAAAGACTACTCAAAAGTAGCTAAACAACTATTTGCAATCTTGTAAAATGTTAACCATTTTGTTTGATATTTGATTTTAAATTTCACTTTGATACTTAAAAGATGTTTAGTTAAGTTATTTTGTAAACAAACAATGAGTAATAAGAAAAACAAGTTTACATGTTACAAATTAATTTCTACAGTTTTGACATTTAGCTAAATAGCCCAAGACACTACATATTTTTAATTACTATTTGTGTCTGAGTATCTTTGTTTAAGTAATAAATATGTTTGAACAAATTCATTACACTTGCCTTTTTCTGGCTCTGGTAATAAAGAAGTAAACAAGGCACGCAATTCTGCTGATAAAAATCATCTGGGGCATCCAAGACACCAGATAGTTCAGCAACCTTTTGTAAATCTTCATGAGTAACCTTGAAACCTTTAGGGCAGAAAAAGGATATTTTAGAATGATTATACATGCAGGTTAGCAGTGGTATAACCAAGGTTTGAAAGGGGTTTCAAATTAAGCACAAATGTGTAAAAACTCTCAGGAGTTCTTGAAAATAATGAAATGCCATTTCATGCATTTTGGAGTGAGATTTTAGAAATTGGAATTGGAATTGAAATTATATTCACTTCCAGTCCTCCTCATTTCTCAACAGATTTAAGCATACCTTGACAGCAGTTCTAAAGGAGAATGTGGGGAAGGCTTGTCCCCTTTGTAGTTAGCCTACCGTTGTCAGCCTGTTAACCTCCCCCCCCCCCTTAATTCTCCTGTACATAGCAATTTTGTTCAAAAATATGTATATCAATTAAATTTGACATTTGCCTTTCTTTTCCATCCCATATCTCTCTGGGAATTCAAAAATATGGTTGGGAATTCCATCTGCCATCAATGTTTCTCTTTGTGCTCTGATTCTGTGTGTGTTCCAGATAGTTTCACGGAATTCGTCAAGTTCTCTTTGCATCAGTGGGACCATAACATATGCAAGCATCAATCTAACATAAGAATATCACAAGTGAATACTGAAACAAAATATACTACTTTTATTTCTGATGGCTAGCCTATTGATTACCTTTGTATTTCATCTTGTGGATCATAATGGCACTCCTCCTTTAACCAATTGAGACCCACTTTGAAGTACTTCTCCAGGCGATCATGCAACTCCCTCCACCATCTTTCAATCTAAGTGTATTTTTAGTAATATTTTTAACTTTACAAAAAATAAGTACACAAAAATGGTAAAAGAGTATGGTGTGTAATTTGGTTGAAAATGGAAAACCTGATTTGATGGTGAAGGGCCAAACAAAATTGAATCAGCTGGTTCTTCTAAATCTCCTTGTTGACTTCTGAGGTATGCATGAATAGTGCTCATAGTTGTTGTCTCAGTGCCTTTGTCAATGCGTACGTAGTTTGGCAAGACACTGCTTTCCAACAAGGACTGCAAGTACCACTTGCCAATAAATATCGGGTTTGAATTTGTGGTCCACACTTTTAGCCAAATCAATTTTCTACTGGCAGTGTCCAAACATCCGTATATTGCAATTGGGAATGTCGAATTTTGGAATCCCATCATCTTATCATGTCCATCCATAGAGTAAGTCCAATTTGGACCCGGAGTGACGAAGTGTCCTTTAGGTTTTTTTTTCTTGGCACCAGGTGCCCTTCTTGCTAGGCCCTCGGGATCAAGTTCAAACATCAAGTTATGAATTAGGGCTCTGAGGACTTTCAAATCATACTTTTGTCTTATCTTTTGAGTCATCGCTCTATAGCCAAGCATTGCACCTGGGCCGTCAAGCTCTTTTCGCACTGCTTCCCTTGTAACTTCTAAAGGTACATTACCATCAATATAATTTATGCCGAAATGCCTCATTCTTCGATCTAGCGTTCTTAAGCTCCATCTATAGTTTCTATAATCTTTCCTCACAAAATCTAAAATTTCTGAGCGTTGCATATTTGAGGCTACATATTTTTTTAAATCGTTCTCCAGTTGCGTATTGTTTTTCCACGATTCCGCCATTTTTTAATAAACGCACGCTACACCAATTGTCCCAAGAAGTAATACCACTGGCTTAAAGCAGTTTAACGTCTTTTGGCAATTGGCAGTTCTGGGCCACGTGCATTATTTTTCAATTTGAGAGAAATTTATTTCAATTCTCTTTTAGATGAATTTAATCTATTTTAAATTTATTATTTATATTTGTAAAAAAATATATTGAAAAAATAATTTAAAATATGATATGGCAGCCCTGGGCCACCATAGTTAAGAGTATATATGGTAAGTAGTATAATTGTTATAATTATGTCTGGTCCAAGTTAATATATCTTATATACATATCTTGGTTCAGTTATTGATGAGTTTTACTTTTTCTACCTGTGTCTAAAGTATGGTGCAAAAAGGTTTGGGGGAAAAGAGGGTGACATATGACAAGTTATGGCACCAAAGATTAATGATATTGTGCAAGGTGAGAAAGCCAAGATGAAAGCATCCGGACATCAGTAACTATATGGCATTCCATTTTCTACTATTTACATGTTCTGTGCATGTAAATATATTTAGTATAATATTATAGCCTAGTTAAATTTTTGCTATTTTCTTGCACAGTCATTTTATTTGGTCGGAAAACTGTATGGTAATAATTTTATCTAGAAAATATTGATTAAATTTATACATTCATAAAAACCAAGCTAAAATATTTAAATTTGAGTGACACCATATTGTTTTCAATTACTTAGTGCATAATATTTCAATTGAATCCCCCTCAAAATGTGTGAAATGTATATAATTTTCACTTAACCACCATTTAAGATAAACAGCCTTCAAACAACCGGTGTCACAGGAAATTTGGTGTCACAGGAAATTTGGCCCCCCGAGCCAAATTTCCTAGGAAATATGCCCCCCCCGGGCCTAATATTCTAGGAAATTTGCCCCCCCCCCTTCGGAAATTTGGCCCCCCTCTAAAAAACATAGTTTACCTTACCATTTTAGAGCTAGAGAACAGGGGTGATCAGATGTTGAAACTTGGTTCCTTATATACTCTCAAAATGACGTCATCTATTAATCAGATGTAAATATTCTTTTGGCAAATAGCTTCCGTCATCCCTATTAAGGCACAAAGACTCGCATTAATATGCCAGGCTTCCAAACAACGCCTTTGTCCATAACGATCATTAGTGGTAATGACTTTTGAATCGTTCCACCCAATGTTATGGTTAGTTTGACACACGTGTTCCGCCAAGGCTGATTTTGAACTGTCTAAGTTCGAAACGGCCTTTTGATGTTCTTTTAAACGTGTGCCCAACTGGCGTTTTGTTTGACCTAGATACTCGTTCTCGCAATCACCACATGGTATAGAGTATACAGCATGAGTTTTCTGTTTAGTGGGTACGCGATCCTTGGGTTTCGCGAAAATATGTCCCAATTTCTGCAATTCCCTGAATGTATGGAACTATAGCAAAACCTGTTTTTGAGGAATCACCCTCTGAGGAATTGCATCTAGTCGAGACAGGGGATTTTAGACAATCATTTAAAAAGTTTCAAGGATAATTGTTCTGTCTCAGTACACTGAGGACATAATCACGCTCATTGTCCCTAGCAACGCAATTGGATGGTAACGATTCAGTTCTTTGAAACAAAGTTTTTGCAACAGACTTTTTATGACTTTTTGGATGGTGTGAGTAGAAGGATAGATATTTGTCCGTATGTGTAGGTTTACGGTAAACGTCAGTTTCTAACTGTCCTTCGATATTTCTATGAACATAAGTATCCAAAAAAGCCAACTTTCCCTCACTCTCGCGCTCTACAGTGAATTGAATTGATGGCTCAATAGAATTCAAATGTTTCAACAAATTATCGATCTCATTTTTGTTAACCGCAGAGGCCACATCGTCAACATATTGTTTCCAAAACAAAGGTTTGACCGGACTAGAGGCTAAAGCTCTTTGCTCGACATCTTCCATTACTAGGTTAGCAATTACTGCCGAGACCGGGGATCCCATCGCTGTCCCAAAAACCTGCTGGTAATAGTTGCCTTCGAAAGTAAAATAAGTCGTATTGAGACAAAAGGATAAAAGATCGATTATATCCTCCACAGGTAACGATGTTCTTTGTGATAAAGAAACATCTTTTGTGAGTATTTTTTCAGCAACTTTGATGGCAAGATTGACAGGGATTTTGGTAAACAAGGAAACGACATCAAACGATACGAGCACTTGGTCTGCGTTTAGAGTTTCACCTCTAATAAATTCCGCGAAATGAGTGGAGTTTTTTACTGTGTAGACAGTATTCCCAACAGTAGGAGACAATATTCTAGCCAAATACCTCGAAAGATTGTAAGTGGGGGAATTGACAAAAGACACGATAGGTCTCAAAGGTATTCCCGACTTATGAATCTTTGGCAAGCCATAGAATCGGAGATAAACGATCGCTACTACGCAACAGTTTATAAGTGACCTCGCTAATTTTGTTAGCTTTCTTAAAGAGTAATAGGCGTTTGTTCAATTCTCTTTCAGTCTTACCAGTTGGGTCAGACTTAAGGACACTATAGGTGTTTTTGTCATTGAGCAAAGCACTCGCTTTCTCGCGATAGTTTTCTCTGTCCATTACAACAACACAATTGCCTTTATCTGCTGAGAGCACAACCCTGTCTGGATCTTTCTTTAAAGAAAGCAAAGCTTTAAATATGTTACTGTCAATATTTCTCGGGGGAGCCTTAGCACGTCTGAGGATGCTACTGACTTCAGCTCTTACCGTCAGCTTAGTTTCGTCGTTAAGGTGAAAAATTCCTTCTTCAACCGAAGCGACAATTTCAGCTAATGGAATTCGCCTCGGTGCAATAGCAAACTTAAGACCATGCCCTAGTCCTTTCCTTTCAATCTCCGTTAGCTCCTTAGTAGAGAGGTTTTTAACCCATCTCTTCTTAAGAGCCGAATCTGAGTGATCCGGTGGTTTGTGTGCCAACAAACATAACGATTTTTTAGAATACCAGTATTCTATAGAACATTCTAATGAATGTTCTGAAGGATATTCTATTGAATATTCTATAAAACATGGCATATGTTATAGAATATTCTATTAAAGGTGCTATAGAACATGTTGTAGAAAGTTCCATAGAATAGGTTCCAAAATCCCTTAGAATATTCTATAGGATATTCAGTAGAGAATTTTAATGGGATATTCTACACAAAACTTTAAGATTTTCAAACACAGGCAGAAATTCAAAAACATGTTTGTTTTCTTTTGTAAAATAGATTTTGGACCGGTATGGTCCAATATCAAATATCAAACATAAATATCAAACATCTTGCCCACAGCTGACTTTTATGCCATGGATGGCGCAAGACATTTGGATTTAAAGGGGGGGATAAGTCGCTAACGTAAACAAACGCTTTGTTTACATCTGAATTTCTTACAATTTGCTAAAATTCAGGTGCAAACGGAATATCTCACACTATTTTGGCTTGAAATGGTCTGAAATAGTTATAAACAAGAGTTTAATTTACTAAAAGTTCAAAAAATGTTAAATTTAAACAATGTTTATATCTCAGGAGTCTCCTATTGTTATGTGCAGAACGGACTTATCTCCCCCTTTAATAGTGACTTGGTGAGCTAGCGCTAAATCAGTTTTAGGAGTATTTTAAACATGTTTATTAATATCAACAGAGAAACTTTAAATTTACAAGAATGTTGTATCAATGATAAATGAATGAATCTTCCTCATGTCATCTATGTCATACCTGAATTTCAAGATAACAATTTTAACCAAAACGCAACCAATGGCAATCTAAATTGTCCGATATAAACTATAAGTATAAGTCTCAAGTCTCTTTATGTGTACTGGTATATCTCACTACACAGTACACTCATCACCATGATTAGCTTGTCCTTTGTTGAAACTTGAAACCCAACTCTTTTGATCAACAGGAGCATGTCAGTGATCATGCTCCGCGAAAGGTTGGCTACGTTTGTTTTGGCGATGTTGTAGTTGTCGGCTTGTGAAACCGAAACCATCATCTTGTTGAGAACAGAACCTTCGCAATAAAATCAGCCTAAATTTTCGCCTTTCTCGCTCACAATCACCAGGCTTTCGGAGGCCGTCGCCAAGAGGTTTTCCTTCAGCATTCGAAGCTTACAGCTTTGGCAATCGATGAAGTCACAACATTCATCATCGTCGGGCGTTACACGACTTTTGCAATTAATGCACAAGCAATATTTGTTGACATCCACTGCTGCAATACGGCCAATAACATCTTCCATCTCTTTCTCTTTTGGTTTCAATAGATTTGCAGCTTCCTCACTGTCGGCAGGCAACCATATATCTGTATCGGACTTTAGTACGATTATTTCCTTGGTGCCGTTCAAGCATTTTCTTTTAAAAAAACCAACCTTCAAATTGGAAAAAAGATACGATGGCTGGTCGGAAAGCATGGCAATTTTTTCCTCCCAAATCGTTGCACCAATTGTGCCAGTATCATCGGCAAGAACTAATTCACATTTTTGGAGATCCTTTCTCATGTTTCGGGAATACACAGTTTCGACTTCGCCTTTCCAAACGACTTTGGCTTTCAGTGAGACAATGTCTCCCGTATCAGTATTGTCGTGTATTTCTCGAATCGTCAGTTCCTTCCCTGACTCTGGCAAATCTTCCGATGGAAAACTGAGATTTTTCGTAACCAGAATCTTCGATTTAGACGTTAGCTTATACTCTGTCACATCTGGTTCAAACTTTCGTTTCTGCAGAGACACGTTTATTAGCCGTACAGGCGTTTTGGATTTTTCCTTCTCTTTGATTTCATCACGCTTGTGGGGTAAGTAACAAACCACACGTTGTTTCTCGTCTCTCTCCTGAAGTTTGAAATCAAAATAGCGCACTCCAGAAGACGAATTCCTTACATCTGAAACTGCATGCAAGTAACTGTCGACATTTTTAAAGTTTTGCCCACTGCCTTGTGCTTTTGAACCACTCACCATGTTGATTCTCAAATTCCAAGCACACTGGTCACCTTGGTGCGATTGGAGGAGAGTGAATTATCGAAATATGATTGGTTGGCAAAGTTGAAAGGAAATACTTTATTTGATTTCATACTCCAAAATCCACTGTGTGCACCAGTGTGCGAGTCACGACACCACTGATCTATATATTAGCGCATGAAAATCGCATCAAAGAGCTCAAATATGGAACTTCTATACTGACCTAGATGATCAATGAACTATAATAAGATGTTGCCTCAGCCTTATGTGCTGGTTAAATAGCGATTAAACTTGAAGTGAACTCGTAAATAGAATAGATGTCAAAAGACTTGTTTCAGAACTCAAACTGGACCCTGATCCCGATGAGATTTATAGTTTTTTTAAAACCTTCATGGGCGTTACGACCCACTTTTTGTCTCTATGTTCCTTTTACAACCATATTTTACCTAACAAGTAAATTTTTAGTGAGCCTTATGTAAGTACGGACCAGAGGCAAGCTGCTCCCACTCCCTCCCTTCTCGGTGGCTTTGAGTGGTGACACTGATAAAGCTTTTGCAGTATATACTATTATTTACAACACCCCCGCGCACTTTCATTCATATGATGAAAATAAATCAAAAAACAAAGAAACGAATCAAAGCATGTGACATTTTAATAGTGACAAGCGAGGCACGTGGTTACATATCCACTCTGTGACTTGGTGGTAGTAGGTTTAACGTCAGCAAATTATTAACTAACGTATTCGCTGACGCGGCCCTTCTAATTGACCACCACTGATCTGTATATGTTATCTACATGTCAGTGATTGCTCGCGAGCCGGAAATGGCGTCAGTGAAACCCTCCTATAATGAATCAGGGGGCGCATGTCTGCACTGCAGACCTATTTTTGACGCTTAGATTTCTTTTTCAAAAGTCATCTCAGAAGTTAGAAGAGAACCCTTCAGAGACTCTACAAACCCACGTTTTTTAAGGGGAAAGGGGGCGTCCCACACAACCTTCTGGAAGATTTGCAGCATTGTTGCTCACCGGAATCTCCAGCATGTTTTTTTCATAAAGTTGGCAACTATGGATAACAACAGCTCACTCAATAATTGGTACCTATGACATATCCAGTTTGAGTTTTGTTTAGAGCATTTTATTTTACCTCACATTGGGTCATTTGCAAAGCAAGAAAAATGCGCAGTTGTGTGGTTCTAGATAACTGCACCATACACTATTCTGAACAAATTATCAACATGGTTTGCAGCAAGGTTGGCCTTATCATATTTTCACTGTAAGTATTTACATAACTCTTAGTACTGACTAGAGCTATTTACAGTGTCTTAACAAATGAATAGATTGCCCCCATTGGCACATTCATCAAATAGACAACAGGAAAAGTAATTTCCAATGATATATAAATGCACAATTGACATTGTCCATTACTTGCTTTGCACTCAAAATATAGGGCGAAAGGTATGACACAAAAATGGGAAATGCCACACCTATCAATAACCTATAAACATGCATCTGTGTTTACATATAGACAATATTCACCAGACCTAAACACAATCAAAATCGCATTTGGCACTGCTAAAAAGTGGCTACAGGGTCATCAAGATTTATGTGTGAAAAGTATCTAAAACAATGCTTTGAGATAGCACTATATGAGGTGTACAGTATCGTTTCCATATGAATTTCTTATGCTGTTGTGTGGATCTATGTAAGATTAAAAAATAGCTGCTATAAACAACAAGTCAGCTGTATTTTAAAGTTGGTGCAACTACAAAAACTAGAAAAGTTTTAATATTCATAACACTATAAAAAACACAACATTTTTTCTTTATATGTACCTACTGACCTGTATATGGAAAAAATGTAGTGGTATAATACCACATTTTGTCATTATTGCTAAGTCAGACAGATTGCTCAGAAACAAGTGCATGATAGAAGTAACAACATTTGGGAATTTCCAACTGGGATTCATAACTTAATGTAGTTACCAATGGCTGGACGTTTACTTAACCTATGCTAATTTATGCATGTATGGAACACTATTTAAGCTGCCCAGCAAATATGTATTTGTTGAAATAATAACCGCGAAGAATACAGTGAACTTGTAGAAGAGATAAGTTAATTGAATATAGAAACCTAAGAATTATTGGTTTGAAAGACTAAGAGACGATATAGTCGGTATGTTTGTATATGTTTGTTCAAGTATTTATCTAATTTTTATAACTAGCTATACTGTAATTATGTTCGTAATGTACTTATGTTTATTATTAGAAAACCTCGTTCGTTTGAGACGTGAGTTTTGGCTATATAGTTTAACGGATGGAAAAATCGGAGGATGTCCAATACAGTTTTCGACTTCATCAAACTTAGAAGTGATTATGTGGTGAGCGAACGTTTATGAACAAGTTTGGATGTTTATCAAGTTGAGCTGTTATTGAAGTGCGATGTGGCACTGAATAAATTATGTCGACTTTGAAATCGTCGGTAAGAAGTAATTTTGGAGAGAAGCTACCAGAAGCGTTTCCAGAAGAATATTTACAATATCAAGATGCGGACTCGAGAGCTAGAGCACGAAGCAGGAGAATTTATGATGAAGGCTATATACAGGGTGTATCAAAAAAAAGGTAATCCAACTTTGGTGCGCTATTGTACGTGAACTATTCATTCTATTAACGAATTTTTTTCACATTCCGAAAGGTTATGCTTTTAACTATCGAATGACATGTTTTTGATACCAAATGGTGAAAAAATGAGCAAATAGGAGGCTGATAAAAATTGTTAGTCGAAATCGCATATTTTCACCTCTGAGAGTTGGGACTAAAACCATTGAAAATTAACTCTCTTTGGGACTTTTGCTTTTGAATAAACTACCCGCATATGCATATTAAGTAGGAATAAGGAGAACATTCCAAGCAATGCGGCATAAAAGCAGTGCATGCTGTGACATGTTCATGATTAATTGTTTTTCTCTTTTGTTATGCACTGCTTTAATTAGGCTCAAAGGTGAAAATATGCGATTGCGACTAACATTTTTTATCAGCCTCGTATGTGCTCATTTTTTCACCATTTGGTATTAAAAACATGTCATCCGATAGTTAAAAGCCTGATCTTTCCGAATGTGAAAACAATTCGCTCATAGACTGAGTAGTTCACGTACAATAGCTTGTTGAAGTTGGATTACCTTTTTTTTGATACACCCTGTACAAGAACGAACACGCCAACTTTCAAAAAGTTGCTCAGGGCACATTAGTTTGTTAACGAGGATTTATAATGAGATTCATGAGTTAATTACGAATGAGAAAGGAAAGGTGGGCGATATATCCTCAAAATATGAAGCTTTTCGTGAGGCATGGTATAAATTTATAGATGCGCACGAGAAATATTTCGCTTCATTGGAAAGGCAAAGTGATAGAAAAGCCACTAATGTTAGTTATGAAGAACAGAGAATGAGAAAGTTGGAACTTGACGCCATGGTAAACGAGTGGCGTGATATGGTTGAAATGGCACGGCCCAGTGAATCCAAATCTGGAAGTAAGGGATCAAGATCAAAGTCCAAAGGCAGTCAAGTAACAAAAGCAAGTTCAAATTTGTTGATAATATCAAAGAAAAAGGAAGAAATTGCGCTGGCGCAATTTAAACTGGAACAATTGAAAATACGTCAAGTATTCGAGGAAAAGGAACAAGAACTGAAACGAAAGAAAGAATTAGCCGAAGCTGATCGGGTAGCTGTTTCCTTAGAAGTGTATTAACGAGCTGAGGAGGAGAAGGAGAATAGTTCTAAAGGAGAGATCCGTCAAGAGCAATCGTTGACATCTGCCTTGGCAAAAGATTAAGTACCTGTTCATTGTGCACCTACTAGAGTGGATGAACAGCTTCCAGGAAACGTCACTGGAATGAATCATCATGAAGTAGTATTTTCAGTCTCTAATTCTAGATTTAACAGAAGCCATAAAATTGTTGGTGGTTTGTCTGTCAGAAACTATCCTTTCACAAATGATTTACCTTCAACTGATGCATTACCAAGCAGAGACATCTCATTTGGTCAGACACAAAAGACTAGTACAACTTCTGAAGCATATTGTCCAATTCCATTTACACGGCAACCGTTTCTCCCGCAACCCATCTCAAGATTTGGTTCATCTGCAATACCTACTGGTACTCCATATGAAGACCGAATGTCTCGTTAGTTAAACCCGATGTTAGATATGTTCCTAGAAGCTTGGGTCCTACAGCAGCTAGAAATGCTGTGCTGCACCACAGAACATACAATTCCCAACCACCAATAGCGTATAATGCGACTTCAGCCACACCAAACACAAGTGCTAGTGTAGATATGGTGCAAGCTTTAAGACAAATTGCTAACACGCCTAAATTGGAGTATCTTCGTTTCGATGGTGATCCAATGAAGTACGGCGCATTCATAACTTTGAGAACTTTTTAGAACAAGATAATTCAGATGAATCAAGAAAGCTACAATTATTGATACAGCATTGCTCAGGAAAGGCAAGAGAAGCAATCGAAAGTTACGTGAGCTTATCAAACGGAGATGGTTATAGAGTTGCGAAAGACACATTATATGAGAATTTTGGAAAGCCACATGTAATAGTGGAAACACACATAAAGAGATTGATGAATTTGCCGAGTTTGAAAATTGGGGATGGTCCTTCACTTTTACAGTTTGCGAGACATTTGGAAACAGCACAAAAAACTTTGACTGGTATGGGATCCGTCTATGTGGCTGATTTAGATCATATGCACATATTAAGAGAACTTGTCAAGAAACTTCCAATGTACCTCAGCGCCAAATGGACAGAACTTGCAGGAAACCTTTTCGAATCAGAACAAAGACCACGTTTTGAGCATTTCCTGAAATTTGTCAAGGAGAAGGCAAAGCTTGTGAATAATGAATTTGGAAAGGATATGAGTATTACTACTTACTCAAAGCCGAAGTTGAGTAGTAAAGATTTGGCAGGAAATATTGGGAAATCGGACTTGAAATATACCTCATTTGCAGCAAGTGGAATGGAGGACTCAGTTCGTCAGATTTCACCCAATCGGAAATCAACTTGTGAAGTGTGCTCCGGACAGCATCGAATATGGAATTGTGATCGCTTTAAGAAGGCTGAATATAAACTGAAGCGTAAAATCGTGTTACAAAATGGATTTTGTAACAAGTGCTTAGGGAAAGGTCACATTGCAAAAACGTGCCCCAAAACACGTTTCAAATGTCAGGAAGTTGGATGTGATGAACCACACCACACTCTAATGCATCGTCCCAATAATGGAAAAGATCCTCCTTTGCAAAAGCAAGTAAAAACAATGAAGTCATCGCAAACCCAAACTGGGGCTGGCGATCGGCAGGAAACTCCTGATTGAGAAACTAATTCTAGCAGTTCAGTTGCTGCAACCCATGCTGAAGGTAACAGAATTTGTTTAGGAACAATTCCAGTTAGAGTCCGAGGAATTGAAGGAACACAAGAAATACAAATGTACGCTTTGTTAGATAGCGGATCGGAAGTGACTCTGTGCGATGAGAGACTAGCTAAGAAATTAAATATAGACGGTGAAAATATGAAATTTACGCTAACAGGAATTAATGGTTCAGTTGAAGTGGAAAGTCAACTTGTCAACATTGTTGTTACATCTTTGGATGGATCAATGGCGGTAGAATTACAATCGATTAGTGAAAGACACTGAATTTTTTAAGAAATATACGAATGCTATGCAGGATTATATCAATAAAGGACATGCTCAGAAAGTACCTAAAGAAGAATTGGACAAAGACAACGGAAGAATCTGGTATCTCCCACATCACCCTGTCACTCATCGATTGAAACCAGATAAAACGAGAATCGTATTTGACTGCGCAGCGAAGTTCAAAGGTGAATCCCTCAACCAGCATTTATTGACTGAACCCAATTTAACTAATTCTTTAATCGGAGTCATAATTCGGTTTCGCCAAGAACTGATCGCAATTGTCGCTGATATTGAATTAATGTTCTATCAAGTATTGGTTGAACCCAAAGATTGTTATGCATTTAGATTCTTGTGGTGGGAAATTAATAATCTTAACGACACTCCTACAGAATATAGAATGGTGAAACACGTATTTGGCACTACGTCTTCGCCAAGTGTTGCTAATTTTTGTGTAAAGAAGACAGCATTCTGCTTCGGTGGAGAGTTTGAGAAGGAAGTCGCGGAAACAGTGAACAAAAATATGTACGTCGACGATCTGATGAAATCTGTAGATACACCAGAGAAAGCTATGAAGCTGTCAAAAAATCTTCGAGAGTTATTGAAGAGAGGAGGCTTTAGATTAACAAAATGGCTTAGCAATGATCGGAAGGTGTTAGAAGAAATTCCCGAAAATGAAAGTGCAAAATCTGTTGTCAGTTTGGAGGTTGATAATTTACCTACAGAATGTGCTCTTGGAGTGAAGTGGAATGTCGAGACTGACAACTTCATATGGGAGGTTCGTGAGGAGACTATGGCATTGGCTAATGCTGTCTGTAATATATTAACTTTTCGACCCGATAGGATTTATTACTCCATACATAATGAAAGCGAAGCTACTGTTACAAGAGTTGTGCCGGAAACGACGAGGATGGGATGACAAGATTGACGAACATGAAAGTCAGCAATGGTATCGTTGGTTGAATGATCTTCCTAAGTTAGAAGAGGTGAAGACAGGACGTTGCTTTAAGCCACAATATTTTGGTGAGATAAAGAGCATGCACCTGCATATTTTCAGTAATGGTTCACATGTGGGATACGGAGCTGTGGCTTACCTACGTCTAGAGAACAACGACGGACGTATTCATTGTTCATTCGTACTTGGCAAGGCTCATCTTGCACCCATTCGTGAAATCACCATTCCAAGGTTGGAGCTGTCCGCAGCGGTTATGGTTGTACAACTCCGTCAAACAATTGAAGAAGAGCTAGCATATAAGATAGACGGCGTAACGTTCTGGACGGATTCCATCTCTGTTTTGAAATGTATTAAGAACGAAACAAAGCGATTCCATACATGCGAGTCTAATCGTTTGACTGCGATACGGAACGGATCTTCTATCTCTGAGTGGAGATACGTCAACAGTGAAAAGAATCCGGCCGATAACGCATCTAAAGGTTTGAAGTTGAACGAGATGTTAGCAAATAAACAATGGTTAGAAGGACCTGAGTTCTTGTAGAAGACCGAGCATTATTGGCCGACAATGATAGACATACCACCTTTGCTAAATGAAGACCCTGGAGTTAGAAAGGAGATGAAAATTTATGTCACAACAGCTAACGATGATTACCTGCTGAAGTTACTGCAACGATATTCGTCTTGGTGGCATTTAAAACGATCGGTTGCCTGGCTCACTCGATACAAGCAGTTCTTAAAGATGAAAGTGCACCAAAGAAAGGACGGTGTTGATATAATGAAAATGAAAACTGGCTATTTACGACTTAAAGAGTTGAAACAAGCAGAGATAGGCATTGTTCGTAATGTTCAGTCTATGTCATTTCCTGAGCTTGTGAATTTACAAGCCACTTATCATCTTTCAAATAAAAGGTCTATGAAGAAAAGTTTAAAGAATACCAAGACGTCGTTATACAAGTTAAATCCGTTGGTAAAAGACGGCTTATTGGTTGTAGGAGGACGACTCAAGAAAGCACAGATTAATGAAGAGTCAAAACACCCGATAATCCTTCCGTATAGGCATCACGTGACAAACCTTACAATTCAGCAATACCATCATATGGTTGGTCATATGGGTCAGGAATCTGTGCTAGCGTCATTAAGAGAAAGATTTTGGGTCGTAAAGGGACGATCAGCAGTTCGCCAAGCTATTCGAAGATGTATTGACTGTCAGAAGAGAAAGAAACCACCAAGTGCACAATTTATGGCAGATCTGCCTCAAGATAGAATCAAAGCATACGAACCTCTGTTTACGTTCATTGGAATTGACTATTTTGGGCCATTGGAGGTGAAACAGGGAAGAAGTCGAATAAAAAGATATGGTTGCATTTTTATCTGTTTGAATGTCCGAGCAGCAGTACATATCAAGATCGTTCATTCATTGAACACAGATGCAATGAATAACGCATTAAGAAGATTTATTAGTTTACGAGGATACCCTAAATTAAAAGTGATTGTGGTACAAATTTCACTAACGCAGATAAGGAGTTGAAAGCTAACATCGAAGAATGGAATCAACAGAAGATTAGATCTTTCTGTAATCAAAAGGGAATAGAATGGACATTTAATCCACCAAGTGCGAGTCATATGGGAGGCGCATGGGAGCGGTTGATAAGAATTGTACATCAGATTCTTCGAGCACTGCTGAAAGAACAAATAATTGGAGACGAAGTCCTGTTAACCGTCGTGGCTGAAGCAACAAACATTCTAAACAGTAGACCACTAACGCGAAATAGTGATGATCCACGAGATGAAGTACCACTAACCCCAAACCATCTGTTACATTTACGCCCGTATTCTACAGGTATATTACCTCCTGGAGTGTTCACAGAGCATGACCATTACAAACGTAGATGGAAACAAGCACAATATTTAGCTAATCTTTTTTGGAAAAGATGGATAAAAGAGTATCTTCCTAATCTCCAAATTCGACAGAAGTGGACAGAAAGAAAGGAAAACTTAAAAGTTGAAGTTCTCGTACTTCTCATGGATAAGAATTACAGAAGAGGACATTGGCCGCTTGCATGTGTTGTTGAAGTGTTTCCAAGTGAAGATGGTTTAGTTCGTAGTGTTAGTCTCAAGACAAGTTCAACAGTGGTCACTCGAGCCAGACGAACACGACGTGGAGAAATAAAAACAACAACGACCTACCTTACCCGCCCAATAACAAAACTATGTCGTTTGGAAATGGACACTGAAGATAAGTACAATTCATGATGAATGAAATATATAAAACATTGATAGCTTTAGTTATATTGTAGTAAATGACACTTCCCCAAAGTAGTCATTTAGGGGCCGGTGTAGCTACCAATGGCTGGACGTTTACTTAACCTATGCTAATTTATGCATCTATAGAACACTATTTAAGCTGCCCAGCAAGTATGTATTTGTTGAAATAATAACTGCGAGAAATAAAGTGAACTTGTTGAAGAGATAAGTTAATTGAATATAGAAACCAAAAATTATTGGTTTGAAAGACTAAGAGACGATATAATCGGTATGTTTGTATATGTTTGTTCAAGTATTTATCTAATTTTTATAACTAGCTATACTGTAATTATGTTCGTAATGTACTTATGTTTATTATTAGAAAACCTCGTTCGTTTGAGACGCGAGTTTTTGCTATATAGTTTAATGGATGGAAAAAATCGGAGGATGTCCGATACACTTAATTTGAATTAAAAGTGTTAAGATATAACTATTTTATGAACTTAATATCAACACAGTGTGTTTTTTGATTTTAAATTATGTACCCTAACTCAACATTGACAGATATCAAAAACCTCATGTTCTTGGATGATATCTTCCTGTGGCTATGGCTAAAGCAGTGCATGTGAGTATTGTATCTTTAATCTTCATATCCCTGGAACTTCACTTTATAGATTTCTCTGACTAAAAGTGATTTTTCATCTACCAAAACTTGCCAGGAAACCATTACCAAGAGTGGGGTGTATCATGGCTTCAAGGAGGTTATTATCTATGTGATTATCTAAAAAGCATTGGCAATAACGTTCCAGCCCTATCTTTTTCAAAACTCTTGATACATTCTGTTCTGTAACCTGCTGAATGGCTCGCAAAAAATAGCAAATTATTTAGATACCACATATTTTGAATGGTACTAACTGTGTGATACACTTGCATTATTTTAGGGAAAATTAGAAAATGGCTAAAGCTTATTGTCAGGCAATATACAATGTGCTGGTGATTTTCATATGTATTGCTGAATAAAAAGAATATGAAAATATACCTGTTTTTGCAGTTGGCTTTACTGGTCAATGACTGTTAAATATCTAATCGCATATTTAAATCTCACCTGCACTGGTAGTCTAACATTTGAACTCATCATTGCTAGTAAAGTATTTTGAAACATATCTGCCCGCTTTGCCTCAATTTCATTCGCTGTTGGCTCTGTATCATGAAATTTTCCAGCAGGTTGGTATAGGTGCTACGAGGTTGGGTGGTAGGGTTGGAAGTTGGCGATAAACTTGATTCACTAGATACAGGTGGGCTTGTGGTTGCTGTCATATTCTTAGGTGGAACTTTTACAATATCAATAAACTTTTCCCAGTCTGGCTCATCCCCAATACCAGATGCTTTTCCAGCCACAATTTCGTCAGTGGACATCATTCCATAATTCATTTTAGAAAAATATTAACAGCAAAACGGACAAATTTTACTTGGGTTGTTGACTGATTGTGGTTGTGAAAAAATGTATTTTTGAATATTTCTCTCCCCCGTAATGCTCTCCAAGAGGACTCGTCCTGGAGTTTGTGTGAGACTTTCAAATTATTTTAAATCTTTCGCACTTGAATTTCATTCCCGATAAACAAAGGGAGGTTTTTTACTTCCAAGTTGGACAAATGCTTTTAAATTTTGGATAGCTGTTTTAATAATAATAATAATAATAACTTTATTTAAAGTGGTTTCAACACTTAGCCTCAAGGCTACTTTACAGGATGTCCACTAATAAATAATTAATGATATATACTATCTAGGTTAAAATATTCTATATGTTATGAAATACAAGGTTCTATATAATAATATGCTGTATATGGTAAAATTAGTACTAATTATAAAATATCCCCTCCCTCCAAAACAAGTCAAAAATCTATTGTCTTAACTGCCGAATCAAATTGCTTAGACCCAGCCAATTCTCTTATCTGTTCTGGAAGTGCGTTCCACTGCTTAGCTGCATAATATTTAAATGATTTTAGACAGTATTTTGTGCTGCTGACTTTTGGTATAGAGAGCATATTACAGCCACGTAGGTTGTATTTACTGTTCCTTAGTTCAAATAAATTCCTAATAGACATCGGCGCGCGATTCTGAAAACATCGGTTTATGGTGATCATCATATTTTGAACACGGCGACTTTCTAATGTGTTATCGAGTCCAATCCATTCCAACAGTTTAATGTATGGAGTTTCCTTATCCTTATATACATATCTTAAAGCTTGTTCATTTGCCCGTTCAAGTTTCTTTGTATTTCTAGCTCCACAATGGTGCCATACTTGACTGCAATAATAAAAGTGTGGTAATATAAAGGCACGATACAAGGCTTCCTTAGTTTTGCACGGTAGAATGTTCTTTAGCCTGTTGAGGGCATTTATTTGAGCACCAACCTTGCGGCATATGTATCCCACATGAGAATCAAATTTTAATTTGTTATCTATAGTAACTCCTAACAGTTTCTTCTCTTTTGAAATTGGAATAGAATTTCCTGCGCATTTAATATCCATTTCATACTCTGTGTTCCCTAATACCAGAGCCTGGTATTTCTCTGGATTTACCAACATACCATTTTGCTGAAACCATTGTATTGTGTTTTCCAGATCTCGATTTATTCCCTCTTCCACAAGCTGAGGATTATTATGAGATAAATAAATCTCAATATCATCTGCATAGCCCAGCAACTCACTTTCCCTGATCGCATAAGCTAAATCGTTCATAAAAACATTAAACAGCATAGGCCCCAAGATACTGCCCTGTGGTACCCCAGCTGTCACACCCATCCAATTCGAGTATGCTTCCCCTAACTTCACCCGTTGACTACGACTCGACAGATAACTTCGCAAAAGGTTTACTGCTTTATCGCCCAAGCCATAGAATTTCAGTTTTTCCAAAATAAGTTCGTGTGGAAGACAATCGAAAGCTTTACTCAAATCCATAGCAACAGCCCCAATCTTATTATGTTTATCAAGTTCTTCTTTCCAACGTTCCGTCAATGTTAAGGAGTGCGCTGGGACAGCCATGAAATTTTTGATACGCAAACATAAAGGAATGAAAGATCGGCTCAAAGTGTTCCATCATTTGAGAATGTATAATCCTCTCAAACACCTTTCCGAAGGCAGGTAATACAGTGACTGGTCTAAAATTTGTTTTGTCCAGCACACTATCTTTTTTATGATGAGGTGTGATCTGTCCTCTCTTCCAGGTGTCTGGGACTTCCGATTTTGAAATTACAATATTGATTAAATCACTTAGGGGTCTGGCTATGGTTTGTGACGATGCTTTTAATGCTCGTGGTGGAATAAGATCATATCCTTGTGCTTTATTCGCTTTTATGTTATCGAGTACATCCTTAACAGCATTCTGATTTGTCATTCTAAATATAAATTGATTTCCATTCATCACACTGTTTGTCTGTGGCATCCTTGATATATGGGATTGCTCTGTGAATGGACAGTGTTTTTGCAATATTAAACCTTTAGTTATATTTCCAAAATACTCATTTAGTGTTTCTGTTACTTGTCTTTGATCCCTTATCATGTTCATTTTTTCCTTGAGAGTTATAAACTGTTCTGGCGACCCTTTATTAGTATGCATCAAGGGTCGTAATGCATTCCAGAAATCTCTTGGATTTCTCGTTCGTGAGTTACATAGCTGATCAAAATGATTTTTAATACATTTACGACGCAAAGAGACCACTTGATTTCTTAGAATCCTATAGGCTTCCCAATCAACCGACGATTTTGTTTTGTGATACTTGCGCTTTTGTACTATAGCAAACTTTTTGTACTATAAATTATTTATCCATGCTGTGAAAAAAATACAACTGGGGATCAAAAGTGGCATTTATCGTGCAGAAATGTTTAGAATGCGCTTGCGAGGGATGGCAAAAAACAACGATTAAATTTGCAAAATATGGCTGTAACTGTGTTCTGACGGGGGTAAGTGAAATGAAGTATGTCATATCGCAACAAAACATTGTTATTGCCTGGGAAATTTATAACAAATATACTAAAATAAGCATGTTTTTTCATCCTATAGCAAAAATTTTTAGAAAATAGGAAAAATTAGACTTTGCCAGGTGAATCTGTAATTTTATGCATAATCAGCAGTTTACCTGGAATGGTAAACATTCATTTTCTTGTAAAATATGAAACTTAGGATAATTTCACCCTCCAGCAACCACCCCTAAAAGCAACCATTCTGAACCATATAAACAATTCAGACAGACTGTAGCTTGGATAATTCAGGAATTAGAGCTATGTCAAATATGCTGTTTCTGGGCGTGGTCATTTTCAGGACTTTCATCCCGGATTCGGATTTTGGCACACATGCCATGTTGACCGGCATGGTCATTTTACCCTAAGACAATCGAGATAATCTGTCCAAAATTAAATGCATACAAACTCCTTTACAGGTCCTAGACTAAAGTGAGAATGAGGCTTAACCGCTACCCTGAAAACTTTAACATTTCCCAAAACAAGCAACTTATGTTTTCATTAATGTGGTACAAAGAATATCCTCATATAGAGTACAGTATAAAAGCAGGGTTTGCATCCTGTTTTTTTGTGCTCTATTTCCTAGTGGACCAGGAAAGGAAGAAAGCATTGGGTGCTTGGGTGACTGGGGTTGGTTTGTAAGATAAAATGAGAAGCGTTGTGAAGGATAAGAAAAGAAAGCTGCAGCAGCAATTTTTCCTCAGATTCCCACAAAGTTGCATTGAATGATCTAACACACTTTGCCTGTGATATGAGAAACATTGATGTGATGTTGGAAAAGAAATTACAAGAAGTCCGAATACGTAAAGAAGAAAACAACCTGTGAAACCAGGAAGTCATAAAGATCCTTTCAGACATTGCGAGAACATTGGCAAGACAACAACTAGCTTTTAGAGGGCATGATGAAAAGCACAATGGAAACTTCCTCCAGATTACAAATCTTGTTGCAAGGCATAATAGTCGACTTCAGTCATGGTTATCCGACAATAA